GGATGGCGCAGGACCGCCATGTGTTTGTTCTGCTGTACCGAGTCAGAAGCAACTCAACAGTTCCTATAGCGCTCTTTTCACCCTCTAGTCCCTTAACTGAGATTCTTTACAGTGTGTCTTCCCATCTGGCACATTCTATTTTTATATCTTTTCAAACCCTTTGTTTAAGGTGACCAGATTTTAACATTGGTAAAGCAGGACATCATTGATAAAATTCATATCCTGGCAAAATAGCCACATGGCAGACGAAAACCGTATACCCTAGCTTGTCGTGCATTCTTTCCAAAAATCGGAACTTTTTAAAAACGCTGTGAGATGCGGGAAAAATTGTTAAAAATCGGGACTATCCCGCCAAAAGCGGGACGTGTGGTCACCTTACCTTTGTTCGTGCCCTCTAACTAGACACGAGCTCCAGAAGAGTAGGTTCTGTGTCTCCTTGGGTGACCATTGTATCCTTGCTGCCTGGACAAGCACCTGGCCCTTAGTGCAACTAAGTAAGTGTTTGGGGTTTTTAATAAATTAATGATGTTTCCACAGCCCTTCCAAGGGCTAGTACTTCCTGGACTTACTGTATGAAAGACCATGTCATAGGTAGGTGCTGCCTCGTCAGTTCTGGCTCATAGCCACACTGCAGAAAGGAGAGTGAAACACTGCCCCGCCCGGTGCCATCCGCACAATTGGTCTTGTGTCTAAGTCCATAGTGTTGTGTTGGTTTGCTTGGCTGGTTGGTTGCGTTGGGTTTCCACACACCATACAGTTCAATGGTTTGAAGATCTTTAAGAGAGTTGTGCATTGATTACACAATTTTAGAACATTTCTTGATTTTTGCTCCCCACGTCCCACCAACCTCCTCGACCATAACCCTAAGAAGCTATTCTCGCTCTGGTCTCTACAGATTTGCCTATCCTGGATTTCATATGAAGACAATCATACCAAAAAAAAAACAAAAAACCCAACAATATCAAAATAACAAAATCAAACAGAAAAAAATCTCAACCCCAAAGAAAGACAATCATAAAAACCAGAACACATGTGAAATGAGTCAAAAAGTGAAACAAATAAGGTGTTAAAATGTAACACAGAACCGTGATGTGTCTGGCTTTGTTGCACATAGAGTCGCTATGGAGACGTCACCTAACAAGGGCGGCATCTTTGCATTAATTCACTCTCTGCTGCCCCCTGTCCGCTGGAAAGGCGATTCACATCCCTAGTCAGTGGTCCAATGGAGGCTTAATCCCCGTGGGGAGCCTGCAAATGGACTTGGGGGGTTCACTCCTATCGGAGCCTTCTGCAAACCGGGTGTGTTTGAGCCCATTTTTTGTAGCCACTTTGTTCTTCAATCTCGTTCAGGGGCTTCCTCTTTTTCACGGATACTCTACTTTTGAAATAAAAAGCAAGAAGTCACACAGCATGGGGGAAAGCAAAACGAAAAGCACCCTAACCTGCCTTTTTTATAGCCAGAGTGTCTAGTTTACGAGCGACTACCAGAGAGGGGGAAGGGAAAGGTTCAAAAGGGGAAACGCTGGCAGTACTGAGTCAGAAATGCACTAAGCGCTCACTTTGAAGATCCCAAGCCCCTAAAGCCACATTTGGCCTTTCTGGCCTGGGGAACAGGGCACCTTCTTCGTCCTGGACTCTCCCCCTCCAGAAAGAATGGGCCTGTTCGTTTCGCAGTCCCCAAAGAAAAGTAAAGGCCTTGTTTTCCTGTATGTTGGATGCTAGGAGAGAGGAGAGAATGCTGCAATTCCCCCTTTTTTGAGATCCACTGATGGGTTTCAAGTTTGCTCTAGAACTGGAATGAAATGAGGACAATGTAGCCCACCCTCCTAAGCCACGCAGTGAACCGTTTTATGGGTTTTGCTTCTATGACTTTTGTGAAATCCATCTGGAAAATCTCAATTAACGTACTAGTTGCTGTTGGGTCAATTCCAGCTCATGGAGACTCCACGCATGTCAGAGTGAAGTTGCTCTCCATGAAGTTTTCAATGCTGCTTTTTCAGAAGGAGAACTCCCGGGCTTTCTTCCTAGGTGCTTCTGCACACCTCCAACTTCTGTTAACTGCTGAGTGTGTTAGGCATTTCCACCGCTCAGGGACTCAAAAAAAAAAATCTACCCATTATTTAAGCTCTAGAACAAATCTCTTTATTAATGGGAAATGCAATGTGAGTAGGCATGTTAATGAGCAGTAAACTGGAATAGCATACTTCCTTGTCCGTGAGAATGTGGTGTGGAGAGGTCACATTTTTATTTATCTCGAGGATCCCTGGTGATGGAGTGGTTTCCTGCAAACCACACAAGGTCAGCAGTTTGAAACCACCAACTGCTCCTCGAAAGAAAGACAGGCCTTTCTACTCCCATAGAGAGTCACAGCCTCAGAAATTCACAGGGGTGGTCCCACCGGTCTTCATCGGGTCACTAGGAGTCAGAATCAACTCAGTGGCAGTGAGTTTAGAGTTTGTGATCAAATCTGGTCTCTTTTATGGAGCTTTCCTGAAACCTCTCACCAAAGGGCCTCCAGCCCCTCCTGGAGGCCACCATCAGGCCTTCATTACACTGCTAGTATTGGTTTCATCACCCTGTCTGTTTGTGTTTTCAAGAGAACATGTACTCGGGCTTAAGTTGGACAAGGATAAGATGACTTCAGAGATATATCATCTGCGTGAGGGAAACCATTAGCCCGACGTCATAAGTTGGTCCAAAGGTTTGCTGGTACACAGAGCTTTAAAAAAGATTCCGGGGATCAAAGAGAAATGTCACCAAAATATGGTTGGCAGCACACCAATACACAAAACATGGTCAATGTATCACAGCTACCACTGGGACTCCCAAAGAGAGATGGGGCCATGAGTGGAAGATGTGCATTTTGTTAGATAGATGAGCTTGCAATGTGGCCCTGGGAAGTCCGCAGGGCAGTCAGGGCATGACTATGCAACACTGCGATCTCCATCAAGGACACACCCCAGGAAGCCCTTAAAGAAGCTTGTCCCTCCCTGAGCTGGTTAGATGAGTGGAGGAAATCCACTTTGCTATGCACTCTCTGAGGGCAACACTTTCCCTACCCTGTTCAATCACCTTTAAGTGTTTGTTTCTTTGGTTTGGGTTGTTTGTTTGTTTTGCAAACCATTTTAATAGAACTTCATACCATTTCATAGGTCAGGCATGTCAGGCAGTGTTGTGCAATCACTGCCACAATCATTTTGAAGAGTCTCTTCCTCATTGTACTCCTAGACATCACCTCCCCATTGCGTGCCTCACTCCTGCTGCAGCGCCCAGGCACCCTTGTTCTTGTTTTTGTCTTTGTAGATTTACCCAACCTAGGTTTCCTATGCTGAAAACCTAGATATTTAACAGAGGGTCAAGAATGCTACCAAAAATAAGAAAATGCAACAAAGATAAGCTCCATTTAGAAAAGGGAAAAAAATCAGGCAATATTAAAAACCAAAGCAAACTCAAAGCATATCAAAAGGGAGATCAAATGTCAAGGTTTTAACCATGCTGTCAGATTTACCATTTTAATCTCCTATAATTGTTTCTCTAATACTCTCTGTCTGATGTCCAAGCTATTCCCATTCCTCAGGTATGGTCAGAGGGGAATCACTGGAAGCTTTTTCCATGTGTAGGTCCTGTGAATGTATCCTGGGCTTATGCTATCATCCACAGCCTTTGCAAACCAGAACTTCGCTAAAGGCTCTGACGCCATTCCCTCCTTCAGATTTGGATTTTATAATTTATAATCCTTGGATCACAGATGTTGGTGTGCTTCTTCCTGTGGGTTTAGTTGGCATCTCACTTAGAGGGCTGCTTGTTTAAAAACAAGCCTTTAAGACCCCAGCTACTATTCTTTCTGATAGCTGAGCACCATCTAATGTCTTCACCACGCTTTGCTGTAGCACCCATATCTTCCATCTTTCCTTCTGGAGGAAATGTATGGAGCAGGGCCATGTGGTAAGAACTAATTGTTCTTAAATTGGAGCTAAGATGAAGTGCAAGTGCACAATCCATTCCTAAATCGACACTTTCTATCAGCCTCTGGTTTGCCTTAGAAACATTTTTGTTATTTTATATTAGAGAACCTTATCAACCATCTCCCTGAAGCATATGGTCCTTCTGCTGATAGTCTCATTGATTTGGCCCATGGTAATATATTTCAAACACAATTGAGAAAGGGACATTAAACAAATGTAGGCTAGTTACAAATCACAACACATGGATTATTGATTTACACAGATTAAGTCTGTGTGTGACTGGATACTGTTTATACAAACAATGGGAATTGGTGGTCAAGCAACATTTACAATAATATTTACCGATAATGCCAGACACATGTCTGCCAGAAGAATATACATCTTAATCAAGCAAGTAGGGCACTGAAGTCGTAAGTAAGTGTTAAGCAATACTCTTGGTATAACTATACTCCGCTTCTTCACCACCATGTAATTCCGGCCTTAAATCCTCGGTTACATCACCTTCTTGACTTAAATGCTTCCCCTGTCTCTCAGTAGTTCAGAGGGCCAGGAGGCCAGAAGTTGTCTCATTTTTCTTTATACCCCAGTGTCCAGTTAATGTAAGAGCCCCGGTGGCCTAGCGGATCACACGTTGGTCTACTCATCGCAAGGTCCGCAGTTCAATTCAGTCTCTCCACAGGAGAAAGCTGAGGCTTTCTGCACCCATAACGATCTGTAGTCTCAGAAACCCCAAAGGAGCCATCCTCCACTGTCCTAGAGGATCTCTGTGAATCAGAAGCCACGCGATGCCGTCGTAGTCAGTTGGGTCCAGTTCATGAGTGAGAATTGACACAACATCTCTGGGTCTAGGGTTTAGTTTCGTTCTGATCCTGCTTAAGTTCTTGGCGCCTAGCTGCTCCTCGGTGAGCGCTGAGAAGATGAACCAGTAAGGAAACGAACAAACAAGAGAGGCTACACTTGCGTCGGTTACCCAGTTCCCGGCATTTAGGGGCCCTTCCTGCCGGTGAAACGATGTGTTCATTTTGTTTCCCTCAGGCACTCTGATTGTTCTGAAGCATCCCTACCCCAGGAGCGTGGAGGAGCCTTCCATTTATGAATCCGTGCGCGTCCACACAGCCATGCAGACAGGAAGGACGGAGGATGACCTGGTGCCTGCTGCCCCTGCGGTAAGTCTGCCACCTGGACACCAGCTCACCTGGCCTCCTCCTCTGGAAGGGTGGAGTGCCTAACTACAGGTGCCCCTCCCACCCCACCCAATATAATTCTCATGTGAGCCAGAAAACTTAGACATGAGCATAAGATTTGAAGCCCATGACTCTTTTATCTGGCCTAAGGTAAATGCATTTTTTTCAAAAAAGGATATAATTTAAATTGATCATCTAACCATTTGTTGTCCCCTTTGACCCATTTTAGCTTGGTCTAGGGTTTTTCAGAGGAGCCCTGGTGACATAATGGTTATCCACGTGTTGAGCTGCTAAACTGCAAGGTCCGCAGTTCAAAACCACCAGCTGCTCCTTGGGAGAAAGTTGAGATGTCCTATTCGAGTCAAGAGTTACAGTCTTGGAAACCCATGGGGCAGTTCTAACGTGCCATGCAGGGTCACGCTGAGTCAGCGTCGACCCAGGGCAGTGTGTGAGGAATGTTTATTACTCCCTGCTTTCTTTGGATTGAAGTGTATCTGTTTTATATGTTGTGGCTACTGATGGGTTTGGGGTGTTGTTTTGTATGATTTTCTTTTTTGATGAAATCCCGGCTGAGTACATCTAGAGACATTAGCTAGATCAATAGATCCTTAGGGTTATAACGAGGAGCCCTAGTGGCATCGTGGTTACAAGTTGGGCTGCAAACCTCAAGATCAGCAGTTTGAAACCACCAGCCGCTCTGTGGGAGAAAGACAGAGCTTTCTACCCCTGCTAACAGTCCCGGTCTGGGAAAGTCACAGGGGCAGTTCTACCTCGCCCTGTGGGGTCACGATGAGTTGGCATTGACTCAATGGCTGTGAGTTTTGAGTTTAGGGTTGTGACAGGGAAAACTGGAGGGCAACGAAGAGCTAATAACAATGAATACAAGAATAAAGGAAATCATCAAAAATTGTGGTAAAAAGCACAACTCTTTAATGCATTTCAGCCATCGAATAGTATCATACACGAAGTATGTAACAATGGAAGGGTTTTAAATTTTTTAATTATAAAAACAAGACAATAGTGCTAAGAAACAAACGAACTGCTTTGCAAATGACACTTGGCATTCTCTTCCTCGGCCCTGATAGAATGAAT